CTTAGTTCTTCTCTTTACCTTTCCTTTTTTTTTTCCCTAAGATTTTATTCATTTATTCATTTTAGAAAGAGAGCGAGAGAGCATGTGAACGGGGGAGGAGGCAGAGGCCGAGGGAGAGGGAGGGGGGAGAATTTCAAGCAGACTCCTCAATGGATGCAGAGCCTGGGGCCAGGCTCGATCCCATGACCCTGAGATCACAATTGCACCTGAAACCAACAGACAGACACTCAACTGACTGAGCCACCAGGTACCCTGCCTTTCCTCTTTTTAAATGAAAAAAACTTTACCTTTTGTCTGGCCTTCAGAGATGAAGTTCTCTATCTCTCCCTCCTTCCATCCCTCTCTTTCTTATCTCTAGTTTATTAGAATAATATCCTAGAACTCTGGTGCATTTTCTCCATTCCTAATGGTGGTATTCTATTCAACTTTCATTTTCACCTAAATGGAAAAAAAAAAAAGACTTTTCATATTCTTTTTTTAATTAAAAATTTCCCTAGCCTCTATCTTGAGATGTAATGAATATTTAGCATTGTGTCAGTTTAATGTGTACAATGTAATGATTTGATATATGTACATATTGTAATATGAGTCCCATAATAAGGTTAGCTAACACATCCATCACTTCACATAGTTACTTTTCTCTGTGTGTGGTGAGAGCTTTTCAGATCTACTCTCTCAGCAACTTCCAGATATACAAGGCAATATTGTCAACTATGGTCACCATGTTGTACAGCATGCTTATTTAGAGAATTCTCTGCATATGACAGAATGGAGGATGTTACTTATGTGAAGATGATTTCTTATTTGATTATTTGATATACTTTAGTTTTTTATTTTCTGAGGAAGTAGTTCTTGCTTAAGAATAGAAGCCTTGGAATCCCTGGGTGGCGCAGCAGTTTGGCGCCTGCCTTTGGCCCAGGGCGCGATCCTGGAGACCCGGGATCGAATCCCATGTCGGGCTCCCGGTGCATGGAGCCTGCTTCTCCCTCTGCCTGTGTCTCTGCCTCTCTCTCTCTCTCTCTCTGTGACGATCATAAATAAATAAATTTAAAAAAAATAAAAAGAATTGGCTTTAAAAAAAAATAGAAGCCTTGAGATGCCTTGGTGGCTCAGCAGTTGAGCATCTGCCTTTGGCTCAGATCCCTGGGGTTCTGGGATCGAGATCCGCATCAGGTTCTTTGCAGGGAGCCTGCTTCTTTCTCTGCCTATGTCTCTGCCTCTCTCTGTGTCTCTCATGAATAAATAAATAAAATCTTAAAAAAAGAGAATAAAAGCCTTGTCTCCTTTTAATTAAGAGCTGGCTTCCCAAGTTATCCCTGTTGAAGGGCACTCAGTAAGTATTTCAGTGTTTCTGGTGTGCCCTGCTTTGGCTTGAGGTTTGCAAGGAAGGGAGTGATGCCAAGTAGCCCTCCCAGGGTATGATCTTTACATTCCCCTTACTTGGTAAAGGCCAGCCCAGGTAGGGTTAATGGTGGCGCCAGAGGGACTGTGAGTTGATGTCTTGTATAGGAAGTGGATGATCACAGCCAGATTGGGGTTCCTGGAGAGCAGATTTTACTCCCTTATCCACAGCCTCTTTCAAGATAACCTGCATGCTGGCATGTGAGACATTGTGCTGTGATTCAAAATGACAAAATCTGAGATGCCTGGGTGGCTCAGCAGTTGAGCATCTGCCTTTGGCCCAGGGCATGATCCCAGAGTCCCGGTATCGAGTCCCACATCAGGCTTCCTGCAGGGAGCCTGCTTCTCCCTCTGCCCATGTCTCTGCCTCTCTCTCTGTGTCTCTCATGAGTAAATAAATAAAATCTTTGAAAATAACAGCAACAACAAAAAATGACAAAATTTGTGATACCAACAGCCTCAACAGAGTTTTGATTTGGAAAAAAATTCTATTTGTAATTTTTTTTTTTTAAAGATCGATTTAGTTATTTGAGAGAGGGAGAGGATGTGTAAGCATGCATGGAGGGTGGGGCAGAGACAGAGGCAGAGGGAGAGGGAGAGAGAGTCTTAAGCTGATCACGGAGCCCGACACAGGGCTTGATCTTACAACCATGAGATCATGACCTGAGCAGAAACCAAGAGTCAGATGCTTAACTGACGAAGCCATCCAGGTACCTCTAATTGGTCATTTTTAATAGAGGCCAGAGAAGCATCTTTTTACTTTTGACCTAGGTACTTTTGCTTTAGGACTAGCTCATTTCTCTTCTACTAGTTGGTTTGTGAACTTCTACTTTTGCTGCAGGAGAGTGCAATTAAGATTTATTTTATTTTATTATTATTATTTTTTAAGATTTTATTTACTTATTCATGAGAGACACACACAGAGAGGCAGAGACACAGGCAGAGGGAGAAGCAGGCTCCATGCAGGGAGCCCAACGTGGGACTTGATCTCGGGCCTTCAGGATCACACCCTGGGCTGAAGGCAGCGCTAAACTGCTGAGCCACCGGGGCTGCCCTGCAATTAAGATTTAATTGCCCTTGGGGATCCCTGGGTGGCTCAGTGGTTTAGTGCCTGCCTTCAGCCCAGGGTGTGATCCTGGAGTCCCGGGATTGAGTCCCACATCAGGGTCCCTGCATGGAGCCTGCTTCTCCCTCTGCCTGTGTCTCTGCTTCTCTCTCTCTGTGTATCTCATGAATAAATAAATAAAATCTTAAAAAAAATTTGAATTGCCCTTGACTCTACCTGCCTCCCAATGTAGTAGGTTAATGGGTTAGAGATCCCAAAGTCTGAACTTCTAGCACTTCTTATAGTGTTGTTTCTTCTTACAATTTATACATTTCCCCCCTTTCCTGCCTAAATATAGAGCTTGATGTAGTCTAAACATTGTTCAGGGGATCCCTGGGTGGCGCAGCGGTTTGGCGCCTGCCTTTGGCCCAGGGCGCGATCCTGGAGACCCAGGATCGAATCCCACATCGGGCTCCCGGTGCATGGAGCCTGCTTCTCCCTCTGCCTATGTCTCTGCCTCTCTCTCTCTCTCTGTGTGTGTGTAACTATCATAAATAAATAAAATTAAAAAAAAAACATTGTTCAGTATCAATGGTCATATGAAAGAAAAGTTCTGTAGCCCTCTTTCCTCATTTCTGTATTATAGCTATAAATGATGTGATATAATCAGTGTCTTGACAGCCTCAGCTCAATTTGCTCATTCATTAGGCAACACATATTTATTGAGCAACTATTGTGCCAAGCCTTAGTGATTTTTCTGTAGGTATGATAAATAAGAACCTGCCCTGATGGAGACAGACTGTAACCAAGTAAGTAAACAAGATGATTATAGATTATAAATTTTATAAATGAAATAAATCAGATGATGAGAAACTATAGACTTCTATTCTTAGTAATTTTATTTATTTTATTTAAAGATTTTATTTATTTATTTATGAGAGACACACACACAGAGAGGCAGAGACACAGGCAGAGGGAGAAGCAGGCTCCATGCAGGGAGCCCGATGTGGGACTCGATCCCGGGACTCCAGGATCATGCCCTGGGCCAAAGGCAGGCGCTAAACCGCTGAGCCACCCAGGGATTCCCTTCTTAGTAATTTTATTTTTTAATTTTTATTTTATTTTATTATTTATTAAAATTTTTATTTATTTATGATAGTCACCACACACACCCACACACGAGAGAGAGAGAGAGGAGAGAGGCAGAGACATAGGCAGAGGGAGAAGCAGGCTCCATGCACCAGGAGCCTGACGTGGGATTCGATCCCGGGTCTCCAGGATCGCGCCCTGGGCCAAAGGCAGGTGCTAAACCACTGTGCCACCCAGGGATCCCCCTTCTTAGTAATTTTAATTGAGGTTATTAGAGATAGTCTCTGAGCTGGAAATGGAAGAATGAGAATAAGTCAGCCATGCATTAGAAGAGTTGAGCAAAAAAGCATTCTAGGAAGGAGGGAATGATGAAGAGAGTGTGGGATGAGTTTGGCGTGTTCAAGGAACAGAAAGACAGACATGCACATCCAATGGAGTGAGCTAGGGTACAGGTGGATGGAGAGGTGGTCAGAGGGTGGTACAACTGGTTAGTGCTCTGTAGATCATGGGAAGGAACTCGGGTTTATTGTAAGTGCAATGGAAAGCTTGTAAAGAGGTCTAGGACAGTGGAATGGCACAAACTTATGGAAAGAAGGGAAAGAAACGAATACAGCTGTTGTGTGAAGACTCAGATGGAGGGTGTCAAGTGTAGGAGTGGGGAAAACCAGTGAAGTCCTTGTGCTTGGGTATGGTGGTGTTGGCACATGTAGAGAGAAAGATGCTTTGAAAATTGGACTAAGTTATGATGAGTCAGAAATATATGAATGAGGAGCATGGATTTGAGTTTTGCAGTTATGGTGGAGCTTTGTGTGTATGTAAGTTTGTGCATGGATGTGTATTTATGAATGTGTGTGTATGACTGTGTGTTTATGAGTGTGTGTTAGTATGCATCAGTGTGAGGTGCCTGTGTAGAGTGCACACATATGAGTGCGTGTGTGTGCACACACTTGGGTTTTTTTCCTGTTACTGCTTTTAAATGGGCAGACCAGTGGCACAAAGGAAAGGCCTGACTTATATGGGACTATTTAACTGGGGGAAAGTTGGTGGCAGGAAGACTAGCTAGGAGGTTAGTGGAGCTGGATGTGAAATGAAGTCCCAGAGAATGCTAACTTGGCCAGGGAGCAAGAGAAGACAAAATTGGGCAAATCCAGTTGTTTTATTCTGTATATGGATGAATGAGACTGAGGAGTGAAAGATAATTCCATTAAAGAATCACACTTTTCAAATTAGCCCAGTGTGATTGCTAGATGTATCAGTCTTAATTATTAAAAAAAAAATAAACTTCACTAAAATTCATTTACTTGATTTCTCAGGAAGGCAGTCCATTAGTAAGAGTTTAGTGAATCTACTACACCCAGACTGTCCCCTAACCCTTACCCCCGCACATATGTATACACACTCATTTTCTCTACATCTGGAGTTCTTAATTCTTGAGAAACTCATTGTATTTTTTGTTTCCCTCTAGGACATCTTTGAAGATGCATTGGAAACCATCTCTATGTAAGTAGTAACATAAAAAGTATATAGTAAAGAAAAATGATTCTCTTATATGAAATGTGTAAATATTTCATTCTTACTTTTTGAGAGTTGTGAATACTGCCAGAAAGAAATCACTTTTCTATAATTCAAGAATTAGGCTGTGATGATGCTTAAGCAAAGGATGTATCTAAAGTTACTAGCAAATATATTTTTGAGTATTATTTCTTACAACCTTAATTAAACTAAAATAAAAGAAGAAATGTTTTCCAACAAATTTAATTTTGTTTATACCTAACCCTATTACATCTTGTTTATGTGTTTTAAATGAGTAATCTCATATTGCAGAATTTTGCTTTTGTTTAATTTTATTAACAAGCATTTCCTGTAAGTCTACATAGTTTTTTTTAATTTATTTTTTATTGGTGTTCAATTTGCCAACATATAGCATAACACCCAGTGCTCATCCCATCAAATGCCCCCCTCAGTGCCCGTCACCCAATCACCCCCACCCCCCACCCACCTCTCTTTCTACCACTTCTTGTTCGTTTCCCAGAGTTAGGAGTCTCTCATGTTTTGTCTCCCTTTCTGATATTTCCCACTCACATTTTCTCCTTTCCCCTTTATTCCCTTTCACTATTTTTTATATTCCCCAAATGAATGAGACCATATAATGTTTGTCCTTCTCCGATTGACTTTATTTCACTCAGCGTAATACCCTCCAGTTCCATCCACGTCGAAGCAAATGGTGGGTATTTGTTGTTTCTAATGGCTGAGTAATATTCCATTGTATACATAAATCACATCTTCTTTATCCATTCATCTTTCGATGGACACCGAGGCTCCTTTCGATGGACACCGAGGCTCCTTCCACAGTTTGGCTATTGTGGACATTGCTGCTATAAACATCGGGGTGCAGGTGTCCCGGCGTTTCACTGCATCTGTATCTTTGGGGTAAATCCCCAGCAGTGCAATTGCTGGGTCGTAGGCAGATCTATTTTTAATTCTTTGAGGAACCTCCACACAGTTTTCCAGAGTGGCTGCACCATTTCACATTCTCACCAACAGTGCAAGAGGGTTCCCCTTTCTCCACATCCTTTCCAACATTTGTTGTTTCTTGCCTCTACATAGTTTTTGTACTGATTTTACATGCTATCCTATTAGATCAAGTGGAACACCACAATTATCCATTTCTCCTTTATTAGACATTTAGGTTGTTAACCAGTTTACTGTTAACCAGTTACCTTGAAACTAAGTAATAAGTATTTTCATGTATATAGATTTGTCATATTTTTAAATTATCTCCAAAGATTAATTTCACAGATGTAGGATTGCTGGATTAAAAAGGATGGAGATTTTTATTGCTCTTTATATTATATATTTCTCTTTTAAAAAAAGATTATTTATTTGAGAGAGAGAAAGAGAGAGAGAATTAGTGGGAGGGACGGAGAGAGAGGGAGAGAGAATCTGAAGCAGCCTCTGCACTTTCTGAATTAGCTTGGATCATAACAAAGTTCCACAGACTGAGTAGCTTAAACAATATAAGAAAATTTATTTTCTCATAGAGCCAAAGGCTAGATGTCTGAAATCAGGGTGCCAGCATGGACAGGTTCTGGTGAGAGCACTCTTCCTGGTTTATAGATGGCTGCCTTCTCTTAGGTACAGATAGACCAACAGACAGACAGGGCCTCTTCTTACAGAGGCCCAGATCCAGTCATGGGAGTCCCTCTCTCAGGACTTAATCTAAACCTAATTATCTCCCAGGGGCCTCATTTCCAAGCACCATCACAGAGGAGGTTAGGGCTACAACACATGAATTCTCAGGTACACAATTCAGTCCATAGCACTTTCAAAAGAGTTTTATCAGTTTATGTGGTTACTATTCCCGTGTAAGTAAGTGGCATGTACTAATCCCATGTAAGTAAGTGGCATGTAAGTGAAATAAAGCATAGCATCACTAGGTACTATTTTTTTTTTTAATTTACTTATTCATGAGAGACACAGAGAGAGAGGCAGAGACATAGGCAGAGGGAGAAGCAGGCTTCCCACGAGGAGCCCGATTTGGGACTCAATCCTGGGACCCTGAGGCCCCAGGATCATGACCTGAGCCGAGCCACCCAGGTGCCCCTACCACTGAGCCACCCAGGTGCCCCTGTCACTAGGTACTATTTGACGTGGTTTTGCTACTCAAATAATAACTAATTGCTTAAGTTTAAAAATTTTTTTCTTTAGTACCATTGTTTACCACATTGCAGTTCCTTTTATATAAATTCTAGTCTTCTTTTACATGCTTAAATTCTACTCACTGTTTCTCTTACATACTTACAAACTTTAAAACAGTTATACAGTGTAATCTTTTGTTTGCTTCAGCTATTTTCCCTAATCATTGTTTTTCTTCATGTTAGTTATACTTTTTTTGTGTTGTCTAGAAGTTTTAATGTTTATATTGTTGAATGTTTGTTTTTGTAATTTAAAGAGATAAAAACTTAATTGTGACTAGGACAAAAAAATAAGCTCTTCATTTTGGAAAAGTTTTAGATTTATAGGATTATTGCAAAGATAGTGCAGAGAGTATTTGGAAATGGACTTGAATTAGTTGTAAATGGATATTGCAAATGCTAGGGCAACCCCTAAAAAAAAGGGGAAAAATATAACTGATCATGTAAAATAGGAGAGAAAATGAAATCATATAAAATACTCAATTAAAATCACAGAAGGCAGAAAGAGAGTAGAAGAGAAAAATAGGAACAAAGAACAAAGGCAACAAATAGAAAACAGTAATAAATATGGTATATATTAATCCAACTATATATTAATAATCACTGAGTATCAGCAGTCTATATGTACCAATTAAAAGACAGAGATTGTCAGCATGGATCAAAAAAAAAAATGACCTAACCATATGTTGTCCATAAGAAACTCACTTTAAATATAAAGACATACAGATTAAAAGTAAATGGATGGAGAAAAATATGCCATGCTAACTCTAATCAAAAGAAAGCAGGAGTAGCTATATTAATTTCAGGGAGAACAGACTGCAAAGTGAGGAAAGTTATCAGTGATAAAGAAGGAAAGTTATCATTAAATAACGATAGAAGGATCAATTCTCCAGGACGACATAGCAGTTCTTAATGTGTATGTGTCTAACAAGAGTGCATCAGAGTACGAGGCAAAAACTAATAGATGACTCTCTTATCATACTTGATGGCTTCAACGCACTTCTCAGAAATGAACAGATCCAGTTGGCAGAAAATCAGTAAGGGCACAGTTGAACTCAAAACAAAAACCAACCAAACATAAAACCCCTGAACTTAACTCAACTGGATTTAATTTAGATTCCTATCTCCTACCAACCCTGAAATTGCTAGTCTGCTATTCCAACACCATTTGCTGTCTGTGAAGTAAGGAAAATTTATAATGCCCCCTTTATCAAGTAATAAATTCATTAAAGTTAATGGTGCTCTGTTTTGGAGCTGTTTGTTCCTTTCTTTTTTTTTTTTATTTATTTATGATAGGCACACAGTGAGAGAGAGAGAGGCAGAGACACAGGCAGAGGGAGAAGCAGGCTCCACGCACCGGGAGCCCGATGTGGGATTCGATCCCGGGTCTCCAGGATCGCGCCCTGGGCCAAAGGCAGGCGCCAAACCGCTGCGCCACCCAGGGATCCCTGTTTGTTCCTTTCATCTGTATGTCTGTTTGCATAAAAATTACTCTTTGGTCAACTGTTTTAGGTGTTTCAATGTTAGTATGACTGGTTCTTAGAAGAACAGTATCCAACAGTGACTCCTGTGATGGTGATACTTTAGATTCCCTCCTATCAGACACATTTTGTGTACTTTTAAAATGTGGAATGATGGAGGCCTTGTATGTCTTGGCCTTTTTTATTCTACTGGCAAGTATGTTATAATTTTTCTCATTCTTAAAACAATTTTTTTTAACACTACCTCACTTGCTAAATATCTGACATTTTATTTTCCATTTATTGCCTCTTTCAGCCTCTCTTCAGCTGTATGTATCTGCCAGCATTTTCTTTTTAATTTTTATTTCCCTGTCCTGCTCAGGTTAGCAAATCCAAAGGTTTACCCATTCTAAAATTTATCTTGCTCTTTTAGATTTCTGGTGTGCATTATTTCTTGTGTCCCTCAAGACTATCTCTTAAACAGTTTTTTGTTTCCTTTTCAATGTTGCCAAAGTGTCTCTGGTATATGTTCTTATATGTCGCAACACATTATAGTAAATAAATCACCAGATACATTATAGTGATGTATCACCTAAGAGTGACTCACCTCTTTGAAATAGAGTTCAAAGCCAGAATAGGTGGCCAAAGTAGATATCAGAGTTCATGCTCTAAAACTTTTGCCCTTTACCTGCAGTAGTGGCTTCCATCCAGAGTGTGTCTACGATTAGTTTTGACCGGATTCTAATAAACTTTGCTTTTTGGCCTAATTTTGCTGGAGTTCTGGAAGGTATGGTGAGGGGGTAGCTTTAGAGGTCAGGTTCAAAAATGGCAGTGAAAGAAGAAAGTAATTGTGACATACAGTCATGGCATTCCAAGGCACAGCCACATGGTGTACACAATCTAGATGCTCCTTTCTGGAGAGACCAGCCTATGGATTTGACAGGCTAACTTGAGCTTCAATCCCATTGCACCATTTACTGGCTAGGAGGCCTGGGACTAATTTCTCCGAGTCGCAGCTTCTTCATCCTTGCATAAATTTATTGGGAAGTTAGAATGAAATTTAATTTAAATGTGGTAATGGGACTAAAGCACATAGTAGGTGCTCTGTAAATATTGGTTACCTTCCTATTCCCCCCATCCCCCAAACCTTGATTGCTCTTCAGTCTCCCATGAGAAAATCATGTTCACAATTCTGTCTCTGAGACATTGGAAAAAGGTTAAATGATATCTAATATATTCTATTTAAGAAAGTATAAACTTGTGTCACATATGTTAAGGAAATTTTAGAATAACCAGAAATGTTTTAAGATGATATTTTGAAAGTTAATAGGATACACTTCATTCA